CCAGCTCGTCTGATTGACCGTGAGGGGGGGTTGGGGGGGGGGGGGGGGGGGGGGGTTACTGGCGGTTCATTACACCAGGTTATATGGCACAATGCATCAATGCATGCACACAAGCGCCGTTCCTACCCCTCCCACTCGACGGTTGGACCGGGGGGGGGTGTTACTGGCGGTTCATTACACCAGGTTATATGGCACAATGCATCAATGCATGCACACAAGCGCTGTTCCTACCCCTCCCACTCGATGGTTGGACCGGGGGGGCGGGGGGCGGGGGGGGGTGGGCGCACGGTTCGGGGGCCACAAAGACGGGGCCCGCAGGCCGCCTATTGAGTGCCGCTGTGCTAGACCCTCGTCCTATGTACTTTAGATTCGATTTTTAGGGTTATATGATAAGCTGCCAATATTTTTCAGCAACTGGTCATTTGATTCATTTTCAACGTTTCAATGGAAATTTTCAGAGATTAACAGTAAAAATACACTTTGTCGCTTTAAATTCACTAATAACTGAAATATGTCTAAAAATGGAGAATGTTGCGGAAATGTACGGTGGTTGTTCATAGCACCCCATTCGCATATGTTCTCCATAGCTTTCTGATGACATCACCATCACCATGCATGGCTGTCAGGGTTTGCTTCCTTTAGGTAATGAGTTTGTGTTGCATGTAAAATTTTTGTATATGGTTTAAAAGATAACTCGTTGTTCATTTTGACCAAAAATGTATTTGGTTTGCATGTTTGGGGGACCTTTTGACGAAACTCAAATATAAGCAGCGAGTTTTTGAGCTACCTTTTGTAGTTTGTACTTTTTTTGGTTTGTGCATTGACGAAAAAAAATGAAACAACTTCTGCATTGGCACGTTTGAAACTCTTTTTGCAGCTTTTTCTTCTACTTGTTTCAATCACATTTCACCAAGGCCATGCCAATTCACTGAAAATAAATGGCAAGAATTCGATGTACTGTTAGATTAAATTCTAAAGGGATATTTGAGTCCTTTAATTGTTAAATCGACTCATAACGAGTTTCTTTTTAAGCCCCAGTGCTTTACAATCTACTCACAGCAGGTGTTTGCCAGACAAACCAGCAGTCAGCGAGCCAGAAAGTGTCAGATGTGTGTCACACAGTTCTAAGTCAAATGTCTTTCTCACCCACTGATTCAACACTTCCGTTGCTGTAATTTAACTCGAAGTGGAAAGCTGTTAAAGTGCTTCATGATGTAAAACTGAGCGTTTTTCATAGACACAGTCTGTTCCCTCTACCGAAATGCCTCATGTGAAATGGTGCACAAGTTGATGCATTTAATTGGCCCCCTGCTACACTTGTATTACCATCTTTGTACAAATTGTCCTGTGACCATTTTTATTATGAAGTGAAGTGACTTTTAGATACACAATGAAAGTATTTTGTCTTTTTTCTAAAAATCACACAATACAGAATGGTCTCTGTCTGGGAGTCATGTGCAGGCTGATAAGATGTCTAATCGGACTCACTGGGAGGAGGAAAGGGGGAGCGACTGCATCTGGACGAGATCTGGCACAGATCAGACGCAACACATGTGGTCCAGTATAATTTACAGAGCTGTGAGGGAGGAGTGGGTTATAAGCAATTATTTTGCCTAGCAACATCCACGGGAAGGTCGAGGGGAAAATGTAGTGCTGGCAGGTAGGGAGAATACTTTAATACTGTGAGACATCAACAGTTTATGTGTTCCATCCGTAGTTGCAGCCTTCTCCAACCCCAGAGAAAGAACACCAAATCAAAGCTATCTGGGTTTGTAATATTTAAAACTACAGCTAAGATATCACTGAAATAATACTGTATGTGCCACCGGGACATCTGGCTACAATGCGTGTAAGAATTAAAATTATGTGAGGTTAGCAAAATGTGAGGATCACAGGGGCTAGAACCAGTTAGCTCAGGAGTTTTCAGAGTGGTCTGAAAAAATCTTTTTTCATTGTTGAGTGATGTCTCCACATTACAGGGAACTGAAAAAGAAAGTTCTGCGCAGCAGGAACTAGTTAATGCATAACCTGTTGTCATGAATTACTACGCCATAAAACATTAGCGGCATAAACAGAACAACAGTTATATCTCAGCTAAAGGGTTGCACAATGTTGGCAGGTGAGATACACAGGTCGTTTAACACTTCTCGTTTGGGGCAAAGCCTTCTACTTTTAGGAAATGCCTTGACAAAAGCAAATACAGTTGACCTCTTTCTGAATTCATCTAAAGCAATTGATACTACTGAACGTGACTTCCTACTCATTATACTGTAACGTTATGGAATTAGAGGGCTGGTGCTAGACTGGTTCATTTGGTGTTTGTCTGGAAGAAAACAATATATTTGTGTACTAGGCCTTTTCCCACGGTTTGGGAGGGTGCAGTTCGGTCCGGCCGCCTATTCTAACAGCACGGTTCGATATTTTCCCCCTACTTTCCCTCTGCTTTTCAGTCCCTGATCCGTGGTTCAAAGGGCTGACATGTGCTGGAATTGCGAACGTCAGTTGCTGATTGGCTAAGGGGAGGAGTCACTGAGGTGAGTTGTGTCAACAGACGCTGTTTTTGGTTGAGTAGTGCTGTTGGGAAAATGGCTTAATTAATAATAAATAAGCCAATAAAGTTCCTTCCCGTGTTCCTCGTTGTTCTATTTTAGGGCAACTTCTTTTCATTTTAAACAAAACTAATTTAGCTACCGGTAATTCCTCATCTGTAAAACATTATTTGCTGATGACATAAACTTGTTTTCATTTCAGAATTCATGTATTGATTAAGCAGAAAACTCAGATCGACTCCTCCCTGGGGTGAGCCATTCACACATCTGGTGTCCTATAACAGGCTTGTTGTACATATATTGTACATGTATGTAAATGTGATGAATGTCTGAATAAACTGAAATTGATTCTAAAAGTAAAACAATATTCATGGTTAGTGGCCTGTATTTGATATAGCACCTTCTAGAGTCCTGGAACCCCTTAAGGCGGTTTACAACACAATCAGTCATTCACACATTCACACACACACATTCACACACTGATGGGGATGAGCCACGATGTAGCCACAGCTGCCCTGGGGCGCACTGACAGAGGTGAGGCTGCCGATCACTGGCGCCACCGGTCCCTCCAACCAATACCAGCTGGCAACGTGGGTTAAGTGTCTTGCGCAAGGACACAACGACAGCGACAGACTGAGCGGGGCTCGAACCTGCAACCTTCTGATTACGGAGCGAGCACTTAACTCCTGTGCCACCGTCGCCCCATATTCTGAGTGCTTCTAGGTCTTAGACATGGGCAAAATAGATAAATATCACATGACTTTAAATGCAAATGATTATAAACAATAACTTTATTTTAAAACAATTTCTCTCCATTTAAGTGAAGCACACCTATAAGTAATATTAAAGGTGTAGTGGAGGATCTGTATCTACCAGATGGGTCATCTGAACCATTGGTCCACATAAATGTCAATCATTCTGGTGAAGCTTTAGTGCAAGGCCATCGTCGTACATCAGGGCTATTTAATTTTGGGCCTCATGGGCACCAGCATGTTTTAGTGGTTTCTCTGGTCAAACATGCTAGATTCAGTGGTACAATCACCTGTGCAGCAGCTCATCAGGCTCTGCAGAAGCCTGTTAATCGCCTGCTGATTGAAATCAGGTGTGTTGAAGCAGGGTTAAAACCAAAACGTGCTAGATACCAGCCCTCACGGCCTATAATTTAATAGCCCTGGGTTAGTTTTGACTTCCTGCGCTTGCACATTCTGTTTAGAGTCGCTCTCACCAGGGTTCTTTTGAAAATGTCTGATACTCGCAATAGAAAAAGTGCCTTTGAGGTCTATGATAAGAAGAGAAAGGCCTACGAAGTGAGAAATAAGACCAGAGTTTTTTAGGAGACTCTTTTCAAGCCTAAGTTTTCAAAATGTGGAGAGGGCGGTTCTTTCAAGAAATTCAGAAACATCCTCCGCAATACCTTTGAATAAAAAGTGATGGGAGAGCATCTAATAAAGTCTTAAGAAAAATGGATGGATGCACAGGAGGATGGATGCATGAATGGGATTAATTATAAATATATTTAATAGGTCTCCTTGTCATCCTCAACGCAACAAAAAATACGATGCTATTTTAGGCATGTTTAAAAAACGTACAGAACCATTTATGACACAAATCGTTGTTAAATATAACAACTTCCAGCCAATATTTCCTTCTGTTTCCTTGTAGATATACATAGCGTCACATAGCAGGAAACCAACCTTTCCCTAAAGAAGAGCTCAAGTGGACTGTTTTTTAAACTGAGAGAGATTTGAAAACCTTGTGTCAGGATAAAGAATTAATCTGATAATCCAGTGATTAATTTATTTTCCTTCATCAGATAATTCATTAGACTTGGCACGGGCAACGACATTTGGAAATGCTAAAACCTCTGGAAAGACAGCTCCTTGGACGGATTTGAAAAGGATTCTTACAAAGTGCAAGACTATCGGGTTCTGCATGCGATTTGTCATCATGAATTATGAGTGAATATTGCACACAGGCTCTGGTATTCTAAGTAGTGATGACAACAGGGATACAGCATGTTTTGCTTCATGCTTACTATTACTGGAAAAGTCTGCGTGAGACACTAAATCTAATGTGGGTTAACCCAGACGTGTTATAAATGCTGTAAGGATTAACTACCTGATCAGAGGTGCTAATTAAATGTGATCAACAGACACCAAAGACAAATATGGAGAATGGAATCCAAAATCTGTTTGACAAAGTAGCTGAACTTTCCTTTTTTAGCTTTTGCACCAATCCCATCTCTGACATGGAAACGATAAAATAATATGAATTCAGGAACACTCATCTTCTGTGAATAATGGTTTGGCATTTGCCTAACAAAAAATCTGTCAGCACGAAAATAGATACCGACAGATTCACATACTTTTATAGGACTATTAAGACGGATGAATGGGCTGATGGGGAAAAAGAAATGTGTACCACAGCACTCCTCTGATCTATATTACTTACCTCACATGACGGGATACAGTGGATGTTTTGTGGGTCAGGGTACCATTTCATCAACCCGGTGCAGACTATGCTCTGAGAGACAAAGCACATCAGTGCGTATTTGTTATGCAAGGTAAAAACAGGAAAGGGATGACAACTTATAATATTGTAAAGAAACTGAAATGTACGGGTTAACCCCTACTTCCACTGGAAGCATCAGTGGTACTATTTTTGCCATTTTTAGACAGAAAATCACACAGTTTCAGTGTAAAACCTCAGGTAAATGTCAAAATAAAAGATTATCGTAGCTATGCAATTCCATATATATGTAGATTACATCAAAACAAGTGACCTAACAGCTTATTTACTCCCAGAATCGTTTGAGAAGTGCAACGTTGTGTGTTTATGGCTTTAATCCTGACACTGGAGAGGAACGATATCAAATATGACATCAAACAGCGATATAAAATGGGATTTCCTTCTATTTGGTTTAATGGCTGATGGCATAAACAAACCGTGACCTTTAAAGTCTTGAGAAATTTTTGTGACCTCACGAGTCTAGTGAGAGGCACAGCAGAGAAGACGCTGCACAGCTGAGATTCTTCTGGTGTGCACTGGCATTGCTCTGATATTATTGAGCCAAGAACCTCTCACACCAGTGGTGCTCTGTTGCAAAATGTGCAAGTGCATAATGATTGGAAGACAGTTAAATGCAGAGCCATGTTATTGACCAAGGTTCTTAGACAAATGCAAGAAAACCACTTCACAAGTGTTTTTGTTTGTTTTTAATCTTCACAATATATTTATAGTTTTACTATCTTAGAACGTTGTTAAGAGGCATGAAAAAATATTTTAAGCTAATTTGTTTTGCAGATTTGCAACTGTAGCTTTAGAAGTTGGCAAATGACCATGATGGTGATTAGATTAAACTATAAATGGTTACTGTGGAAGGGTGATGGATGCATAATAAGAAATTTGTGGACATTTTTAAATTTAAAAACAATTACTTTTTGAATTTAGTCATGACTTTAGGTCTAAGTGAGTTTCTAAGTGCTAGCATTTACAATAAAATTACAGTTAAAGCAACAGAATTATTGAGACAAACTATCAAACAGGCAAGGCAAGGCAGCTTTATTTATAGAGCACATTTCAAACACAGAGGCAATTCAATGTGCTTTACAATTATCAGGACATGATATGAAAACAATATAAACACTAATTAAAATACACACAAATGGAATTACTGTTTAGAGCTAAAGGAGAAAGTTACAGTGCAGATTACAGTAGAGTAGACGCATGATAAGAAACGATTCATTTACAGGCTGATGAGTACATTAAGATTTTTAGTTTTGTTTGGGGCAGATCTGAGGTCATGTGGAAGCTGATTCCATATGTGAGCAGCATAGTAGCTAAATGCATCTCCACCATGTTTTGTTCTGACCCGCGGTTCTACCAGCTGATTGTTTCCAAGGGATCTCAGAGCCCTATTGGGTGTTTATACAGGAATGAGATCGGACATGTATTTTGGTCCCGTGCCACTGAGTGATTTATAAACAAGTAGGAGCACTTTGAAATCTATTCTGTAGTTTACTGGTAACCAGTGTAGGGATCTAAGAACAGGAGTGATGTGCTCCGTTCTCTTAGTTCTTGTTTAGACTCTAGCAGCAGCTTTCTGAACAAACACCTTCATTTCACAAAGGGTGCCATGAAATAAAAGTCAAAAATTAATAAAAAATCTATTGATGATGATTTCTACACCAATTTGGATCTCCCTACAGTCAGTGATCCATCACACAGAAATGAATAGAGCTGCAACTTGCATGTAGCAAAAAATGTTAATATTGTGGTTTTTTTTTCTTATAACTACTTGCTACTTGGTTTATTTGTGCTGGAAACAGTTATTGTTAAGACACCAGTGGTGATAGGGTCATCTGTTACATATTTGACCCCAAGAATGTTGAAAGAATGGTCAGTAGATAGCTGAAGGATTGACAAATATGGCTGAGGAAAGTTGATGGTCTCTGGAGCTTTCCAGTGCTGCCTGACAAAGAGATGGAAGACCTGATTCTGACGTATCTGAGATAACCAAATACTTTGAAATCAAAAGGCAGTACCAACGATTTGGAGTAAGTAATCAGACCTCAGTCCAACTATTTCACCTTGGCAAAGGTGGAACACCTTGCTGGCTGGCTGACCACCCAAAGGTAGGGTGAAAGTGGAGAAGTATGATAGCATACCTGGGTGTGATATTGGGTAAACAACAGTGCTGGAGCTCAGACTGAGGATCTGACCTTCTTTCTAGTATTTTTCTTGCTGACTTGTAAACATGAATGTTTGAGAAATGACTGCATTTCCTAGAAAATTTGACGTCAGCTGGAACCTTTACTTGTGCTATCTCCCTGTGATTTCCAGTAATGCAAAAACACTTGAATGATAACAAGCAGCAACTTACACTAATATCAGTGTTTCCTGTGTGATAAATGGGTGCAGTTGAGAAAGAAAACATCTTCATTTAAACTCTAAAAATTAAATATTTGTTATGAATCACAGCTGACCTCCCATCTCTCCATTTATTCTCTGAACTGCTGGGTCTATTTCAGGACCTCACCTCCGTAGCAACAACAGGTCCAAACATTTAACCTGTCAGTTTGGAGGATCTCCATTCTGGTCTAAGGTCAAGATCGGGGGGTACAGAACCCCCAACGACATCCGTCTCAGGGTCTGTGCCCTCACAATTTACAACAGAAACAAAGCACCATATCTAACCAATAAACAATTAAAACCAAGACTAAATGTAAGCTAAAAGCAGCTATATTAGGCCAGAGTGTTATATTCTCCTGTTGGCTGAACAGAGGTTTGTGTCGGCCTGTAAAAGTGATTCAGGCTCAAGCAGCAGCTCAGTTTACTCATTACTGCTGTTTAGAGCACCAGATGTATTAGGAATTATTTATTCTGATGGGTGTTTTGGTGAAAAAGGTTCAGAACTGTTTGTCTGTGGATTGGATTGCATGACACCCTGTACTAGCATGTGTTTCTAAACCCAGTGAAACCATTAACAGCTGGTTTATTTGTTAAATGTGAGAGCTTTAATCCCCTAAACCCAAATAAACCAAATTATAAGGACACTACAGATTATAATAATGTTTAATCCATTCAAGTCTGTATAATACATTTATTTTAATTTAATTGGAGTTTGATTGATAGGAAGCTCAGTGTTTTGATCATGAGCTGTTCCTGTAATTAAGGGTCAAAATCTATTGTAACTGTAGCTTAAAATGAAATTTTCTCAATATGTTTTATTATTCATTGAAACTTCCTGTATGGAGCAGTTCTAGAAATTCATGAGTAAAGTAAGAAAAAGTAATTAATAAATAAGAAACAAACTACTTTCTAAATTACTAAATGATCTTGACATCGTCTAGTAAAGTTTAGGAATCTGCTAGTATGAAAAACCAACATTAATTTTTCTCCTCAGCTAACCAAAGTTAGCTCACCTGGACAGCGTTTGGCAGCATCCAGTGCTTTAGAGCATCAACTGTGACGCCGCTGGGCAGAACCACTGGGTCATGCAGATCCACGTTCACAACGACAGCACATGTTGGATAACACACGTCACCTGTAATGTAAAACAAACACAAACTACCAGCATGTGACAGTCTACTATGTATGTGTTTCTACACTAAACATCAGTCACCAGCGGTCCATGACAGTTGTTGTACTTTATTTCTGTCAGGTGGTTTTTTTTTCTTCTTCAACAGGAAGCTGCAAAACTGCCTAATTTCCCATATTAAATCAGACTTTTACAGGTTTTTTCATGATCTCAAATATGCATCAAAATGCAAAAAGATTGGGTCAATGTATCTGGAATCTTCTGTAATGTTAGCCTACAACTCTAGATAAACCGTAGCTTTAGCTAAACCGTAGCTTTAGCTAAACGTTTTGCTCTTCAGGTCCGTCTAGACACGCTCCATTGGGGCCTCAGCAGGTCTACCATTGGCCGAACAGTTTGGTATTTTGCTAATCACAGCGCTCTACATTTATTGAAAGGGTTTAATGCTACAGCAGCGATGGAAAAAAACTACAAGATGGCGTCGGCTCAGGGCTGGCTCTAAAAAAGACTATTGGTGCTTACACACTAGCATCAGCTCCACTTTACCAGGACTGGGTTGGGAGTTTTCTTATTTATGACGCTTACACATTAGCATCGGCACAGCCCCAAAGATACCGAACAGCACCGGAATTTGGTTTCACACACACAGGTCAGATTTGCGTTTTCGGTGCCGAGGCGACTCTTTTTCTCAGACCTTCTCCCCAGCAGTCAGACTGGGACCGAGGCAACACTACGGACTGACTGGCCGGTTGAAATTACACCTACCGCCTCCAATCTGCGAGAAGAATGAGGCAGCGAGTGGGTTTCCCGCATGCGCTACTCATTTTCTTGCTGGATGCTGTTGAGTAAACTTCTGTCTGTAGCACGGAGCTGCCGTTCCGGAGCTGCCGATCAGTGTGGGAATGGGAGAAGAGAATAGCTGTGTGTGTGTGTGTGTGTGTGTGTGTGTGTGTGTGTGTGTGTGTGTGTGTGTGTGTGTGTGTGTGTGTGTGTGTGTGTGTGTGTGTGTGTGTGTGTGTGTGTGTGTGTGTGTGTGTGTGTGTGTGTGGCACATGATTATGAGGACACACACAGCAAATTAATAAAATAATTTGGTTCAGTGTGGTCTGAGTCTCCATAAACAACACAGCGTTTGTTTACCTTATAACGGAGGACACCGTGGAATTTACGCAGCATTGACAGTCTGGACACTTTTAAAAAACAGCTAAAGACTCTTTTATTTAAAGCTGCTTTTACCTAAACCTTTTATTTTCTTATTTTTAACTCAAATTTTTAATCTTTCATCTGTTTATGAAAATTTATAATTTTATGACTTTATTTTTTCTGATGTTAATCTATTTCTGCTTTGAGAGCATTTTGATTTTATGACATTATTTTATTTTGTTTTGATCTATGTGAAGAACTTTGTGATTCTATGTCTGTGATAAGTGCTATATAAATAAAATTTACTTAAGCCGGGCGTACACTGTGTGACTTTTTCACTTTTTTGAGGCGATTTTCCACTCGTGCGAGAATCCACGAGATCGGGGTGAGTTTTGCGCTGAGCGTCGTGTAGTGTACTGGGGGTTACGAGAGGCGATTAACACCACGTGACCAGCTACCGATCGGCAATCGTGAGCTCGCACGGACTTCTGGCGTGTTTGATATTTTGCTCGTCCCTCGTGAGGGTATCGCACTGTTGAAGCGGCGCTGTGAGCAGCTGCGACCCAAAAAGTATCAGAACCGCTCACGGCGCATGCGCAATCATGAATCAACATCGCTCCCCGCTATTTCCCTAATAACACACGTTGTTCGTTTTTATTTCTACACGTTTTTTTTACTCACAAAGATTGTCAAGGAAGCGTGTTTGTTGTGTTCATGTCAGATTAAACTGATCAGAAAACACAGATTTACTTTCATTATTTCATTTTCCTCATCCAACCCCCATAAATCCCTGTGTGTCCTCCTGCAGCACTCCCGAAGAACTACAGGAAAAACAAGACAAAAAAGTCTGACGTGTTGTGTAAAAACTGCTATTTTTAGCATATTTTTAGGGCCGACGTGTTGCTACCAGACGTACAGTGTGAGCAGTCAGGTCGCATCCGAGAACTGGGTCGTGCAGTGTGAGCGCATGACTCGTGAGATCTGCCCTGCGAGGAAGTCGTACAGTTTGAGCTGAAGCTGAATGCTACGAGTGAAAAAGTCGCAATGTCCGCCCATCTTTACATACTACTTACTTTCCCGTGCGTATTAAACGCCGACCACAGGCTCAGGAATTTCTGCATTCCTGAGAAGTCCCTCAGATTTATATGTGAACACTACCCCGCCCCTTCGAGACCAAACTCACGACATTCAGTCCGACCAAACCCCGACCGTGCCGACGCTATTAGGTAGCCTTGGATTTTCCCGCGAGGTGGAGGTGGAGTTAACAAGACTGCTCAGGCCACTTTGTTTAACCCATTTACTGCCATTGACGTCTTTTTACAGGGCGAGTGTTGGAATGAGCCCCTGCACCGTGATAATTAACATCACTTCTCTAAAGCTGATTTTCATCCGCGTTTGCCACACGTCACGTGATCAGGAAGCAGAAAATCCATGAACTAGGAGATTGTTTTGGGCTGCCGCTGTGAAAAAAGTGAGGAGCGAACCGAAAAAGCTTCTGCCGCTCACAATTTGACAACGGATTTTGAGAGAACGGTTAACGCTAGAAACACTCAGTTTCTTCCTGATGTAAGAAGTGAGTCTCTTCTTTCTTTGGTAGTTTTGGCGTTGACGTCATCATAGAGCACAACGTTCTGTGACTCTTCAAAAAACAGTAAAAAGGCTCAAAACCCCTGGCAGCCAGGGGCTTTTGGCAGTGAATGAGTTAATAATGGAGACGCCACAGACTTCTCTGCACTCTTTGCCCTGCCCATGTGCTCAATCACGCCCGCATTCCTAGGGCAGTGTGGAATGAACGTGGCCAGGCTGGGGCGGAGCAGAGTGGAGCCGATGCTAGTGTGTAAGTGGCATATGGCATCAACTTTGGACAATTTAGACTTGGGCTTCTCTTTGAGAAATGAGCAGATAAAGGAACTTAGGTCATTTATTTTAAAAAAGGAAGTATTTGCTTTTCCTTGATGGTGTCTGTCAGACTGCCCCGTTGACTGATTCACATTGCTCATTGTTCTTACTGGTCCTAGCGCTGTCCAACTGTCCAAGGAGACACTTTGAAAGACAACTGTAGATTCTGCCCCATGACTGGGTTGGTTCAAAGGCTCATGGCCAGACTATATATTTGCGTATATAGGATGGCTTCCCAGGCTACTTTAAAAAATAATTCTAGTGTATATAAAGTTCTGGTTTAATGTTTTTTTTTCTTTGACAACAAAAAAATATATGCTAAGAGCAGTTTATCTTATAATTACCATCACACTCACCAATCTCCATGCCTTGGTCACAGCTGTACTCAACAGAGTGGAGATCTGGAGGAGAAGAGCAGGAACCTTGAAGCGTGGAGCACATGGTAAATTCTGCTGTCCACTTTCCGTCTTTGGCACAGCGAATTTCCATCTGTAGGTAAACACGAAACAATATCTCATTTACACTCCTCAGTTTTGCTGCTTTGTCCATCTACAAGCGTTCAGAATCCAGCAAACCCTGCTGATTGAAAAGTGGTTTGACAAGCACACAAACGTTGTAGCCTCACATTTTCTGAAGCATCAGGGCACTGCAGGGTGCAGCGGGTGTTGTAATGCAGGCCGTTGGTGCAGGAGTACAGACCCTGGAACACGTTGTGCAAGGCTGGGCAGGATATGGGCTCGCAGTTGTTTTCCTCCCACTGACCATCCTCCAAACACTCCAGCTTAAAGTATTTTCTGAAAACAGCAGGAATTAATACTTGTATTTCTGAGTGACTGTAATCTGCAAAAATTATTTAACTGAAATTTAGAATATAAACTGAACTAATTTCAAATAAGAATAAGCCCCCAACGAGTCATGGTCGATGGCTGCTCATGCTGACCCAGGTTCTGTTGGAGGTTTCCTCTCCACTGTCACTGCATGCTTTCTTAGTGTGGGGACGGTGGTAAAGTCTCTGGCACTTGGCAGTGACTTGATGCAGTCTGCTGGGATTTTTCACATAGGACATTTTAAAATAATTGGCATAATGAGTTGAACTCAATTGTAATGTTTACTTTGTGAAGTGCCTTGAGATGACTCTTTTTGGGCTTTGGCGTTATATAAATAAAATGAATTTTATTGGTTTGAATAAACAGTTCGATAAAGATTTATTGTTTCTATTAACTTTTGGTGTTTCAGAAACAAAAACAAACAAAAAAAGCGCACACTGAGTGCCCATTAAACAGTAAATACTTTGTTGTATGGTGTGTGTAGTATAAAAACACAAAAATATGTGTTAATATGTATTTATAAGGTCCATGTGTCAGAGGTAACGTGTTCACTTCGGCATGTTGGACTAATAGGCCTCATATGCATAAAGGTTTGAGTAGTAACTCATAAAGAAATCCAACTGCAATGAAATAGTTTAAAATAAATCCATAAAATATATGTTTTACTATTAATTTTATGACAGGACATATAACCATGTTGAGTTTTTTAAGCTACTATGCCGAGGAACGTATAGAACCGTATGTGTGTTGCACAACAAAAGCGTGTGAAGAGAAAGTGTTGACTCTGTTTAAAGGAGAGTATAAACTTACCCCAGAGGCTGTCTCCTTTTTGGAAACCCACATCTCATTAATAACATGAGAACCGTGTTCAGTAATGAGCTCTTAGTCAGTGAATATAACTGGCAAAGTGAGGATGAGGCCAAGTTAGCAACAGTGCATATTTTATTGGACCCTAATGGGAGTTTGTTCCGAAAGTGAATAAAGTCATGCAGCCGACGGGCCGAGAATACCTATTAAATGGTGCTCATTGGTATTTAAAGCTTTGCCCTCTGGGGGTTTGGTTGTTCCTGCGATGTGTTGTTCTTCTGTATAATATCACTAAATCTGAAATATTCATTCTGCTGGGAAATCTTGTAAATTTAAGGAAATTTATACATTCTTTCTATTATACAGGGAGGCAGCGTAAATAAATGTTGAATTTATGTTGGTTTGCTGTTGAATTGAATAGGAGTAAAAGGGCATAAAAAATATTTACAACCAGTTTCCTTCTATAGATTTAAGGTGGCAAATAGCAGTTTTATGGTGTGTATTTGGTGTTATCACTGAACTATGGAAATGTACTCACCTTGGTGTCTTCGTTTTGAGACTCCCCACTACGTAGAAGCCAGGGTTGCATTTATAACGACACACAGACCCTACGTGGTGCCCTGAATCCACACACTGTGGTGTTAGCAGTTTGGCATTGGAAATGTTCAGACCCTCGGGACACTCGATCTTACAGTAGGCTTCTGGAAAAGACCACAACCCGTCTTCCAGACACACCAACCTATCACTGTCTCCTGAAGGGAGGGACCAGAACAGAGGAAGTGAGAGCAGAAAGGACTATTTCAATCAAACACGATGTCAAAAGGAGGACGAGGTGGAACAATAAATCACGAATACTGTGGAAGACCACGGAAAAATATACTTTAGGAACCATTTTTCATTTTTATTTATAATCTTCCCCTTTTTCTTATATGTTAATAAGTGGATTACTGCCAAGGTTCTCATGACCTCATTTTATTTTCTTTAAATTGAAGATCTCTGTGAATAAAAGTAATCGTTACTAAATAAGTTTCTTCTTTTTATATATTTTAGGTTTTACTTCACATGTAGTAAAATTCAAAAGTAAAAAGCTACTTTCCAATGAGTTTTTGAAAAGGACTTAAAATAAAACTGGGCAAAATGTGTTTCTAAATAACTTTTCCTCGATAGACATATAAGAAGGGTCCATAGAAATATCTACACAATGAACAGATGAACAGCCAATAATATTAAGTGTTACTCTGTGCTGAAATAGAGCCACACAGTGCCACTAATGGCTAATGTTTGTGTAGCTTAAGCTTCATGATACAGGTAACAGGTAGGATATCGCTGGTAAAAATAGAAAAAAATAGAGCATCTCGAAAGGGAAAGGTAAAGACAGAGTTCACAGCAAATTACATAATTGGTAATAAGAGACCAAGTAGCTGAGTCGTGAGAACGTATTTGGGCTAAGCTGTGCTGCTAATGATGCTGCGCGTGTGTTCTGACAAAGTCGACAATCTGTTTTAGCTCATGGAGGAAAAGTCACTTGCTGGAGCAGCAGGATGTACTGTATAGACCCATTGAAACTGAACGGTGTTGGACCAGTTCATCCGAAGCAGACCACCTCTGGAAAAGGGCTAAAAAGTCTACCCAAATGAGAACACTCCAAACCCAGTCCAGGCGGAGTAGGAACGATGCTAGTGTGGAAGTGGCTAGTCTCAGATTAGGTCAAGTCCTAGTTGCTGTTTAGAAGAAATAAAATTAATTATTTGTGCTGAAGAATCTGCTAATATCAGAATGAAAAGTTGGGACAATCAAAATTGACTGTAAATAGTTAAAAAAGAAGTATTTTTGAGCAACATGTTTATTTCTAATAAATATTTTAGTTTAATTTGACTGTAAAACATAAAAAGGGTCCAAAGTGTGAGTTGAACACCTTTTCAGTCCTCTTACTTTACACAATAAAAAAAAAACTCATTGACTTTTGTTCCTGCTGAGACACATTTGTTTTATTGAGTTCTTTTTGAGGAATATGAGTGTAATCTAGTTTTTACTTTGCCCAGAGCTGTCACTTTTTATGTCTGTGTGGCCCCACATGAAGCATTTGAGTTGTTCTTTTTTGTTGAACATCATAACACCTTAAACCTTTTTATTGGGTCTATAAAGTATAATTAATCTTTAGGATGGCATCACACATTTTATACACTACCTGAAATAAGGTCCTTATGTTGTGATTGCTATAATGTGTTAAAAGCTGTTTAGCAGTGTAGAAGCACATTTTTTGTAAACTGAACAGTTATTCTACTGTTTGTACAAAAACAAACATTTTATGTAAAAAAAATGCTTTAATTACAAAACAAATTAATTTTCTTTTTTGTTGTTTGCACTAAATGGTAAATATTGCACCTTATAGGGCTCTACAACCCTCCAAGGTTCTTTACAACACAGTCATTTACCCATGCAAACACATCCACAATCTGGTGGTGGTGAGCTACAGTGTAGCCGCAGCTGCCCTGACAGAAGCGAGGCTGCCCAGCACAGGAACCACCGTTCCCTCTAACCACCACCAGTAGGCAAGGTGGGTTAAGTCTCTTGCTCAAGGACACGACAGCAATAGACCGAGCTCAAACCTGCAACCAACCGATTACGGGGCGTGCACTTTGTCAGAACCCAAGTCCCCAAACCAGCCTCTCCCAGCTAGCCGACCTCCACCATGGACCACAACTCCCAGCATGCCCCTCGCGGGGATTCCCTCCACGTTGCACCTACGCACCTACGTCACGAACCGCGACTATATATGGAAGTCGCCTCCCCGGCTCACCACTCAGTCACCGTTTCTTCGGATCTATGATCTGAGTTTCCAAGCAACCGATCCATCTTACGAACTCAGATCACAGTAAGTGTTCTTACTTACTTCTGGAAAACCCAGCATTTCCGTGTCACTTCATTGACGCTCGAACGCTCGGGGATTCCTAGATTAAACCGTGAGCCGGCGTTTCACCGACGCTATCACTTCCGCATCTGTGAGACCATGCTCTCTACAAGCTCAACTCCCGTATCCAGCCGACCAGTCTGACACACTTAACTCCTCTGCACTGTCTCTCCTAAAATACTGTTGATTGAACCATGCATAATGAAGTTGTATCTACTGCACCTTCAATCCTCATCCACTCTGATTTAACAAACATATATAAAGAATGGAACCCACTGACTAAATCCATGAGTTACCTTGTAATATGGCTGGTGGTCCACAGGTGAAAGAGCATTGCTTGCCAAAGGTGGTTCCCCATGGGCAACTGAATATCGCATGATAAACATGAGACTGATCAGGAAGGCCACAGTCTACAAGCTCACAGCTGACTTCGCGATCCCACGAGCCATGAAAACACACCAGCTCAATCGCTTTCTGGAGACAAAAAGGAAAGGGTGGGAGAGGAAAAACGTAAATCACCAAAAAGTTAGACTTTGGAGAAAAAAATCAAACAATTGGATCAAGTGAAGCAGACAGTAGTATTTATCGGGCTTTTGTGGGTTTTGTGGTGCAGTTTCCCTAATATAAAAATAAGGTTCTATGCTTATATTTAAAGGGAAACCAGCCTGTTTGTGTAATAAGTGTTTTATTGTCAAAGACCTGTCCCATTCACTGTCCCCTGAGATGTGATGATACTTGTTTCTCAGAAATACAAGCTGAGGAGCAAACAGAGTTCACACTCAGAGGTAAAACAACAGAAGATAAATCATTGTCTTATAATTATCTTTTTTTTTTTTTACATTCTTTAAATTCTGCCTGCAAACTAGATTGTTTTAGACTGTGTGACACTACATAGTGTAATGACCTGGCTGGGGTTGTAAGCCAGGTGCACTCTGGGTATTGTGTTATATATGTTTCCTATCGTTCTGCTAGTTCTTATGTGTTGATTTGCGTGTTGTGTGAGTGTTATGTAAGCCACGGGGAAGGTGATGTGTGTTCTGGTTAACTGACACCATGACTCTATGTGGTAGGAGCGTGATAGAGGATCGGTGTCTGTAGCGTTACAAAGCGTTGAAGAAAAAGCCTAATAAAGGTCTGTGTGAACCTCTACTGCCTCCTGCTGGTTGATTTGGGGACTATAAACCTGCCACTGAGATGCTCGGGGTCGCTACAATATACTAGGCTAAACACACAAGTCATAAAGATGTCTTCATTAGTAGATTGAGATGTACGATACTCCAGTTTTTGGAAAGGTAAAATAAAAATAAGCCACAGATGTCAATTATAAAATGTTTCAAATAGCTTGCTACATTATCGCTGCACCACGGCTTCTGAAGCCAAACAGTTCACAAAAGTGTTCAAAACTGCTAAACAGAATCCTACAGCATGTTTACAGTCTGAAAGTGTTTGGTGCTGGTTAAAGGGAGTGATCCTGCGTACCTGGTTGGATGGAGTCCCCCTGCCATTGAGGACAGTGATGGTGAAACCCCGGTGACACTGGACAGAGCACCGGGATGCTTCCCCTCCTCCTGTACACCTACAGAGACACACTGATGTATAGATAGTTCTTTTGTTTGTCGTTTCTGCTCTCTAATTGCTCATTGTTGGATCGGTCAAGCCTACCTGATGGAGGCGTGTTTCACTTGCGGAGGGCTGCAGCTGTCTATTTGACACGGCTGCCGTAAACAGCTGTTGCAGATGTAAAAGGAAGAAGAAGAAAGAAGCAGAGGAATAAGAGGAACGTAGATTAAAACTGAATTTGTACCGATGCAGTTATTACTTCTTCCTTGTCTAATTTTAATTAGATCAACCCAAAGACTGCATAGTTTTAGGAGACTGATTATGCAAACTTACACACAGCTGAGTGTCCAACATTAACTTTCATGAACACACCACCTTTCCATCTTGGACAAGTCAGAACCAAATCTGTTCCTGCATTGAACACTGTTCTCTGGTTTGGACAGCATTTGCAGCCTGAAGCACCAATGCAGAAAAACTGAGCGCTTGTGGAAGAAAACCCGTCTTCACGTCATCTGCTGCATAAAGGATCTTCAGACCTCTGCAGTCAGAGACTCAAGGGTTGCCTATTTCTCCAACCTGGTGTCGCAGAGCAAAGGGAACCCCAAGGTGCTGTTTAACACCATCAGCAGTATGGTTTCTCCTGCCTCCCCTACAGCCTCCATCCACTCTGTTGCAGACTGTGAAAACGTTCTGTCTTTCTTTGTGGACAAAGTCAATAAGGTTAGATCTAGCATCTCTCCTTCAGCCTTTTCTCTGCCTCTTCTGACTCCGACCCGGCCCGTGATCCTAGATAGCTTTGCTCCTGTTTCTTTGCCTGAGTTAACCAAACTAGTTAACTCCATGAAGACCTCTGCATGCCCCCTCTCTTCTCCTCCACCTTCACTGACTGCCAGTCAACTTCAGGGTTCATTTCAAGATCCTGGTTCTGGTCTATAGGGTCTTACATGGACAAGCACCATCTTACATTGGTGATCTTCTTAGTCCCTACACCCCCAGCAGGTCCCTGAGGTCCAGTGATCAAAGCCTACTGGTTGTGCAGCACCAGGCTAAAGACCAAAGGTGACAGATCATTTGCTGCTGTGGTCCCCAGACTCTGGAGCTCTCCCCCTCAGCTCAGTGGACTCAGTGGTCTCCTTTAAAAAGCAGCTGAAAACTCACCTGTTCAAGCTGGCTTCTTATTGCTTCTCTTCATTCTGCTCTTTCTGCCCATTTTGTCTTTCCTGGGTTCCACTGATAACCGTTTGCCAATTTATTTTCTTTTTCATTTTCCTCACATTTTTTAAAATATTTTTACTTTTCCCATTTTTGTGATATTTTTCATCGTTTTTTTAATTCTTTTCTTTTTTTTTCTTGAGAAGCAGCTTGTGATTTTTATCTTAAGGGGTGCTATTTAAAAGATTGTTTCCTCACTTCAAACTTGCTCAATTGGCTGAATTTCCTTTGCAGTTTTCTTTATCTTGGAATCATTTAATCTGTAGACAGTGTAATTACAATCTGTAGACAGTGTAGCAATGTGTGTGTGTTTGTGTGTGTTAAGTAGGTAGTTGTGGGAGAGCCCACCCTCTGATGCGCACCCGGTCAGGGCGAAGGTGCTGAAGTGGCAGGAAGTCCTCAAAGCTACGCCTCTCACCGCCACAAAGGGGGAGGAGAAGAGGAGGATAACAGATGATGTGAGGAAGAAGGGTTGAGAGAGGTCATGGGTCACATTCACCACCAGTGGGTTGCGATGGCAAGAGAGGTCGTGAGTGCCTGTGTAGATGGAGGAGTTAAGAGGTTTTATTTTAGTCTGTATACAAAGAATAGGATATCTCAGAGACCTTAAAGTAGCTTTCTGGAGTTTTCCCCTTTCAGAAATTATGTATGATTTTTCAGAAATCCGTAAAAGTGATTATCTTATCCTGTACTGTGATATAATGCAATGGGCCATTCCCATCTGTACCGGGTCGGCCCGGGCCGGGTAGCGTAGGTTGTTTACATATCTGGGTGGTCTGGTATTTTTCCGGGCCAACCAAGGCTCATTCTCAGCCCTCTTCTCGAGGGGGTCTGCTTCAGGTCGACCAGGGCCAACACACCCACTGCTGACAGCAAATTCACACCTTCCATTAGAGCAAGCCTCTGATTGGTGGGTAGAATCAGCCCACATGGGCTTAAGACAAGGATGTGTGGAATCAACCGGGCCATGCTGGGGCCGACTGGGGCTACCCGGCCCGGGCCGACCCAGTACAGATGGGAATGGCCCATAAGCAATACGCCTTTTTTTTTTTTGCTAAGCACGCCCCCTGCCCCACAGAGCTCCGTGCAATAGGAAAGTAAGCCCCAACCAGAACTAACCAATAGCGTCAGACTACCGCTTACATGTTTCAAATTTAAGGAAGTACCTCAGCTGATGCAGAGTTGATGAATTTTTCACGGACAAGTAAGTCTTTAAAATATGAGAATAATACAGTACTGACCTGATTATAAGACAGCCCCTTTCCAAGACTAATCTTATGGAAAGAACAAAAAAATACTTTTTAAATAAACTTTTTTTATTTTTTTTTTAAATAGCAAATATACTATTTTACTGTTTTATATTTTATACAATACTATTTTTATGCAAACTATCAAAACTTTGCTGACATGTGAACTCAAAAGTCAAATGAGGCTTTTATTCACAGACGCCCTCTGCCTCGCTGTACTCACTCATGCTGCTGCGGTCCCGGTGTACCATCAGATCGCTACACCTGCCGACTCCTCCCAGAACACCATCCTCATTGCAATCCAATACATCCATGCATGCAATGTTTGATGCCTCTGCTGAATTGTCTACCGTCATCTTAAAATATGCATAACTCTGCCTTAGTATGTTAACTTGCCCCACTTTCGGTCCACTCTGCTCCGGACCTATTTTTTTCTCCTGTTGAGAACATACAGCCTGGCGTCCTCCGCTGTTATGGGCGTGTAATGGTTAGACCCCAATTATGGGACGACCCCACATTTTTTTCAATGAGGAAAACCTCGTCTTATATTCAGGTCACTACGGTACTTGTAAAACTACATGTTTTAGCTCTGTTTGTCGGCCACAGAAGCACATTTATAAACAAGAAACGTGAAGTCACCATTTTACAAGAACCGATCGAGAGACTGTTTGTGTGATATGCTTGTCAGCCACTAGATGGTGCCATTGGATACGAGAAATACTCCAGAAAGATACTTTAAGGGGGTTTTACGAGACAGGATCAGTAGGTTTTTGTGTAGCATTGATACGTGCATCTTGCCTTTTGCAGTTGACTTCCTGTTAGGAGTTGAACTAACAGCTAGTCTGACTGAAGCAATGAGCAAAGTTTCATTCCTAAAAGTAATGTTAAGAAACTCCTGATTGACTTGATCGGTGAATACTGGATACTCTGAGCCTGTACACATTAAGCTGGATAGCCCACAAAACAAAGATCTTTTGCTACGTTTGGTCTGTCATCCACATAATTGTGAACATTTACGCCACCAAAACCAATTCTTTCAACAACTCTGACCGAAGTGGAGTTTTGCTAATTCAAATCAGTTATTTTTACACGCTAAATAACTGCTCTATGTATAAGACCACAGTTAAGGACAGTTATTGCCCGACACCTAGTTATCTCTGAGGAAGTTTGCAGCCGCGAACGAAACTGTCAGCAAGGTAAAAAGAAACCTTTTCTGTGTTTTAAAAAAGAACCAACTATGCAGTTGGAAAAGCAACACAGCAAGAACGTACCAAAACCCGAGTTATTCCACAACCAAGGAATGTTTTTAGGCAAAGAGGCATATGGTTTTAGGGAACTATTGCCGCCTTCAGGCTTGGCATGCCTATGAATGTGCTTCACAATGCAGTAGACCTGATACTGAAAATGAGGTGGTGTATCCCAACGTTGTTTTTCCTAGATGGGCAGGGGAGTATATTCAGTTTTAGCTACAAGTGTACAATGGGCCTCCGTTTTGCCGCTGTTGGTAATATTTGTATTTATAAAGAACAATATAATGCACACTTAATGTCTGAATTGGCAAAACTATTATCTAAGTAGAGGCTGTTCAGAAAATTGTCTGCAAATTCTCATAGTTGTCACACACACTCGTGTGTGGTGAAAATTGTCCTCTGCATTCGGCCCATCCCCGTGGGGAGCGGTGAGCTGCAGCAGTGACTGCGCTCAGGAACTATTTGGTGGTTTAACCCCCAAATCCAACCCCTTAAAGCTGAGTGGCAAGCAGGGAGGCATTGAGTCCCATTTTTTTAAGTCTTTGGTATGATCCGACTGAGATTTGAACCCCCATCCCCCAATCCAAGAGTGGATACTCTACCACTACGTCACTGAGCTGATCATATAGTTAGTTACAACTCCTTACACTAAAAAACAAAACAAAAAAACAATTACAGACCAAATACATACAAACCAAGACAAGTACCTATTGAGTGGTTTTTCCCATTAGCATCTGAGAGGAGGATGGTGGTTTTTCTTCGATACTGCTCCCCTGACCATGAACCATCAGAGGCCAGGTACACCATCACTGAGGCTGCTACTCCAGGATGGACAAATCCCACCTGTTTCAAAAACAAACAACTAAGCCACATATCCTGAATCAACATGATCAAAGCACTTTCAAGTGACTGGAGAGCGGAATTGGAATGAGGAACTTGAAAATTTGAAGGTTGCAGCAACTTCAGACTGGCCTTGATAAACATGGTACTCTAAAGTTTCACCAGCCACTTGTAAAGCTGGCAGACTGACTGTTTCATACTCAAAAGGTAAACGTTGGATGACTTTAAAGAAATGCTAAGAGTCTTGCAAAAAAGAAAAAGGACGACCAGATCACGAAATTGCCAACTGAAAAAACTTTCTTTTCTAATTGAGGCAGACGGAAAGCTAAAAGTGGATGTCTAAGGGATGTTTTTAGACCAAATGAGTCAAGACATTTAAGAAGAGAGCTATCTTTAAGAGACAGAAGGTCCCTATAAAAGGATGTGGAGACGTTTCATGGAGAGCTGGCAGACACAGGTGTTATGATAAAGAGTTCTCAGACGCTGAAAGAGGCTTCGGGGAGAAGACAGCCTTCCAAAGAGGTTCAAGGCATGTGTTTGATAAAGAGGGTGTCCATAAAAGATGCAGGAAATGGAAAGATGAGAGAAGTGGAAACGGCGAGACAAAAGAAAAACATTATTGAGTATGTTCAAGAAAGAAAAAACTGCAACTGTAAAGGACCATGCTGTCCAAAGAATGACAGATGAGTTTGTGAAGCCATCAGTCAAATCACCAGGTGGACTGCACTTAGTCCGGACCTGCAGAGCAGTTGTGGGAACTGCCTCGGTGGAAATATTAAATAAGAGAGAAGAAATACAAAATCTGCGATCCAGACGTGTGTCTGGTGTGAAACGCCAGGTCTGAATGAGCGTTTCTGAGAGGCATTGTGATGAAGCTACAGAGATAAGACAGGTGACTGAGCGTGATTCAGTCGGTCTCAACTTAACAAATGCCTTTCCACGTCTTTTCATTACATAACACTTCTTGAAAAAAATGTTTTTTAATCATTTTGAAAATTTTGTGATTCTTATTTATTAGTCTGTATTTTACCGAGAGCATCATTATTATGAATGATGAACTAGTGATCATGTTTAAATGATTTAATTGAGACTGCATTTTTTACTATCATTATTCCTTCGTATGCCAGTGTTTTTACAACATGTGAACCTTTTAGGTATTTAATTATGAAAAATGAGCTAATTATATAGCACTTGATTTCTTTTTAACTATTAATAAACTGACAGTAATTGCTGTTTAAGACTTTTGATGATTAGTGCCCATATCAGGTAAAGAATAAACCCACAAAACGTAAATAAATAACAAGCAGAGGTTGGTCATGATTGTTAATCATCTGCAGATCATTAGAACTCCGAGGTCACCGCTGACCTGGAAAATTGGTCATTATGCCAGTGCATTGTGTGAGGTGTGTATGCGCGTGTGTGCGTGCTTCTTTGAAAAGGTCTTTAAACATATTTACAGAGAAGTATAGCGCTGGAAGCTGTTAAAGACAGAGTAGCCACCCACAGGCTACTGGAGGAGAAAACACATATGTGCACATAAAGACAAACACACATGTGCGCACACATACCTTTAACCAGTATGAATGTTCCAGGCCATTATTTGTGTCGGACTGGGCTGTGCAAGGGAACCAGGCATCAGTGGGCAATAATTCACTCACCTCCAGGTGCTGAAAACTACAAAGCTATTCACAAAACACAGAACAAAATATATCGAAAATAAATTAATTGCTCACATAACTTATGGTTTTATTGCTTTCTAGACATAAAAAGTCAGAACATAATAAAACACAGATTTATGACTAATCCAGGCAATAAAAATTGAGAAGAATGAGTCAAAATAAGTATATTTTTCGTTTGTTTTTGTAGTAGCCAAAGAACATTTGTTTTTGTTAGTGCTTATTTGGTCTGAATCCATCATCAATACTTAGTTATCTTTGCAGATTAGAAAGATGGTGCATGATTTGGCAATAAATAAGAGTTTTTTCATACATAAAATGCTGCCATTGTTGGAACAATAGAATAATACAATATTTTAGTGGTCTCAATTGCAAAGTGGGGATTAGATGAATTCTTGTTCAGAAGGGTGAACTGTTCTCTCGTAGTAAAATTTTGGCCAGTCATGATGACCTTATTTAGTACTCATGGATTTGGTTTTTTTGTCCTCTTGCGTATTTTCTTAAATAGTTGCAGCAACACAAAAAGCCTTCGTTTGCCAGCTCTGAGGTCAACAATCCCCTGCACAAAAAAGTGGAATAGACCTTTATTATGAGCAGAACTCCTGTTGTGGCCAGTAAAATTCATCAGAATCCAGGCTTTAAAGTAATAAAACTTCAAAGTGTTTCATGGGATTCCATACATTTTCTGTGTCGCAGAGAAAATGATGAAAGGTTATTGTACAAAAACGTATAAAAAGCAAACAGATCTAGTTACACTGTGTTTAACACTGCTGCTGAATCTTAGAAAGATCTGCCAAAATATTTGCTTGAGTTATTCTCGAAAGGCTCCACATCAGGTTTATCGCCACCAGTTGCTGCTCAGCTCTAAGTTTTGCAAAATGCGCTGCAGATGATATTGAGGGTTTTATAACATTTGTTCTTGTTCAAGTTCAATATTTTCTGTGAACAAAACTGTATAGTTGTGGTAGATGAGCTTTATTAAATATTAGTTCCGTTTTCTAAAAAGTTAGATTTGTGACTCTTTAATGAGCAGAAGATGGGAAGACAATTACTCTACTGGCCAAACATGCAATTGTCATCATTTTTTAATATTGCACTAACTTAACTTACCCCACTCCTAACCTCACCTAAATCAACAGCAAGAATTTAAGGGGTCTCTCTGATTGCAAAACAAATTATTGACATGTAGTTTATATATGTAATTTACTGAAATCCCTTGGAATAATGACAATTGTGAGCACATTACTGTAGATTGTTTAGGAGGTTTGTTGGTGGAAATTTTAATGTAATGCAACCAACATACTTTTTGTTTCAGATTCTGGATACTAGCTTCACAGAAACGATTTGTTTCAAAGGTGCAATATGTAAGACTGATGTAAGAATCACATCTTGTGGTCAAATTTGGTTACTGCAGCCCATTTTCCTAAGCAAAAACAATCACTTTCTCAGCCCCAGAAGATTCTAGATGACAAGCAAAGATGAGTCACACACAGTAAGTTGATAAGAAGATAAATACACTGTCATCTATTGTGTTAGTTTTATGGTAGGGAGCACTTACTACACTTATTATGGTAATAATCCTCCAGCATTGAAGGAAGTGTGGCTGTTTGTTGTTTTGCTTTTAGCTTGCTGTTATAGATCTGAATGACTCATTAAAGGAAGTAAAATGCCATGACTGAGTCTTTATTCACTTCACACAAACATTTCACTGTAATATTGAGTTGTTGGTAAGCTTGTGATATTTTTAGAGCCGACTATTTGCTTCTAATTCATCATTAGCACTGTTAGCTCAAAGTTAGCTCAATGTTAGCCTCTATGCTGCTTCACCTGACATTAGAGTAAAAGAAAAAAATGCTGTGGCTTCTTGGTACAAGAAATAACTTCTGGGTCACTCTTGTTAACTGGCTTTGGTTCTTTAAACACCTCAGGAGCTTTTTTGTCTGCCAGTGTTGAATTACAAATGCTGGCACGGCAGCGTTAGCTTGCCAGAGACATGGCTAACTCATAAACTCACAGACTGTAAACAATGACTACGTCCCTCTCAGCCGGCTGAGAAGGAAATCTATTTCAATGTGACCTTCCTTCCAACATGACATGCGACTGTTTTGTGATTGTTTCACTGTATAATTCTTACATATTGCTCCTTTAACAATCAGCAATTGGGAAATTAATTCCTCAGATGTCATACCTTGGGAAGCGACGGCTCCCCTGTGACACCGTTAGCAGGACAGCGTTTGGGATGCTGGTGAGAAGCAGTGGCCGTGGATGCCCACTGGTCTGTGTAACCCAAAGGTGTGAAGTAACCGCAGTCTTGTACACTTGAATCCCGCTCAAACTCTTCACACACACCGTCACCATCATAAACATAACACTGGCTAGGTTCACCTTAGGAGACAAGAAGTACAAGCAGAAGATTTATGAAAAAATATAAAATCTGGTTTCTTAATCTGGCAAGATGTATACTCCTCTCCAGCTGCCAGACTATCATCCAAATCTGTTTGTCAGTGAACCAGATCTGAGTAAATTTATTCTTTATTTTCTTTGGCAACTTCATTCGACAGCCACGTCAGCTCATTCAAATCCCAGTCTCTGTGTCAACACACTGCAAAACATACCAACACATGGACTTTAATTATTAAAGAATGCAATAGTTTTGAGATATTAATAATGGGGAGCATAATGGTTGGCTTGACAGGTTGTTTTGATCTGAAAAGATCCCCAGTGGACGCTGGATATCGGTGGGTCATAAGTAAGTAACGACGGCAAGAGTATGTGTTACAAAAATCCGTCAATCCTTGTTTCAAGTCTCGTAGAAGACCCAAAAAAAGTTCTATTACTGGATTTCCAGCTATATTCAGAGTTTCACTTCATCTCAACATTTATCATTTCTAAAAAATTAAATAACAAGAGAAGAAAATGAAAATATCCATCAAGGTTCAAAGATTCTTTTTACCCTAGATGGATATTCTAACAGATAAGAAAATCCACTGCTGTGTCGATGAGACAGCGTGTTGACTTTTAAAGGAAAAAATGACCGTAGATATTATTTATGGAGGGCAGAGCAGAGGACCTATTTATGACAGGACAGGACCCCAGATGCAAACCATGCATTTCCCTGATATGGTCCAGCACATACTACCAGAATGTATGATGCAGGGAGGAAAGAAAACATGGAACGCCACAACCTGTGGCTGGAACAGTGTACAAGAACATCTGTGGCAAGTATGGCCTGGGCGTCCTGCTGTCAAAGCGGGGCACTCCACCAACAGTAGGTGGACAGTAGACATTTGTTGTGGTTATTGTTGGAAAAACTCAAGAAAGAAAAACAAAACTGGGTAACAGTGAGACTTAACAAGGTCAAGAAGATCTGGCTGGAAAACCCAAACACATATTCGCTCTATGACTAAGAAGCTAAATGAATAATTGTTTTTAAGAGTTGCAATTTGTATAAGTCTGCTCTTTCCAAATTGTTTTCTATCCTAGTCATGTTTTTATATTTGCTTTTATTGTAAAAGGGGATATGTAATAGTTTCTGTCACGTCGTGGCAAGCCCTGGTGGGAGTTGAGGGGGCGGGAGGAGGGTATCCCTCGGCTTGTTTTCCAGTCGACAAATAAATTGACTGGATGATGGAAATTTTAGCCTCGTAACAAGCTCTCGTAACACTAGCTTTTACAGCAAACATGAATAACTACCCTCAAGCTGCCAGTGGAAACAACACATGGTTTGAAAAGAAAGCAACATGCTGTTTGATCTCCGCTGACCCGTCACAGCTTCTTTGCAATATTACAGAGTACTTCTGAGATAGAGCTTCTGCCATTAGACGAGCGTTTTAGTGAACATTCCAGAGTTTAAAGGTATTGAGAAACATACCACAACAACGGAGCCTGTTACCTGTTTAGGTCATAATATTGTCTGAACTTATCTACAAAAAAGCCTTTCACTGAGCAGGAGATAAACAGGACGGCTGTTATCGAGGCGGGTGAATGCCAGGAGATCAAACGCAGAAACTCTAGTTTCAGGGATAATAATGTTGAGTCTAATGTGTTTTCTGCACAAGAGAATTTTGTGCTTTTGATTATTGCCTAATACTTAAAAATAAACAGAGTCTTGAGTCTTTGGTTTACAAAGAAATACTTTGGGTAAACTCCCTTGCATGTCCTCTAGAGAGGATTGTGTTGTGGCCTGTCTGCATGCTTCTAACAGCGTGAGGACAGAGACACAAAGCATGTTTTTGTTCGGTGGTAGGCTCACAAATGACGGAGACACCCTCTGTGTCTGTGTTGTTTGTCTTTTGTCTTGTTATGCTGCACATACTTTTATATTCCTTTAAAACTGCCTGACAATGACTTTGCAGAGATGCACTTAAAACTGGATTTTCTGAGTGCAATAACGCCAGTTTCCTACTGAATGCATCAGCGCGCAGAATGGCAGCGGAGCATTGCTGCTTCAAATAGAATCTATTATAGTCTAGGGAGTGTTTAAAACCAGCAGTGATGCGGCAATTTCAAGGTGCGTCCCAGAAGCCGCCACTGAAAATATGATCAGGTTCTATTTTTTGCTGCAAGCATGATCATGAGGTTTGGGTAGTGACAGAAAAAACGAGATTGTCGATACAAGCTGCCAAAATGAGTTTTCTCTGCAGGGTGGCTGGGCTTTTCCTTAGAGATAGGGTGGGAAGCTCGGTCATCTGGGAGGGGCTCGGAGTAGATCCACTGCTGCTCCGCATCGAGAGGAGCCAGTTGAGGTGGCTCAGGCATTTGGTCAGGATGCCTCCTGGACGCCTCCTTGGTGAGGTTTTCCAGGCACGTCCAACTGGGAGAAGACCCAAGGGAAGACCCAGGACACACTGGAGGAACCATGTCTCTCGACTGGCCAGGGAATGCCTTGGGATTCCCCCGAAGGAGCTGGCCCAAGTAGTTGGGGGACAGGGAAGTCTGGGCATCTCGGATTAGGCTGCTACCTCCGCGACCCGACCCCGGATGAGTGGTTGAAAATGGATGGATGGTCACTATTGATGTAATCTACATAGATATCAAATCACATCACTGTAATAGTATTTTATTTTGAAAATTATCTGAGTTTTTACACTGAAACCATAAGTGATTTCCTGTCTAGCTTTATGTTAACTGAGGAAATTGACGTGTCCCAGAAGTGGCTCATGACAAAACTAGAACCTGATCCTATCTTAAGCGGTGCGGCGAGCTTCTTCTGGGACGTTCCTGAAATTTCCGCGGCTGGTTTGAGTCACCCCTATAATGTATTCTAACCAAGTCCCCACAATGCGGCTCAAAAATCGAAACAATCCCGAAAGCACCAAAAATTGCAGTTCCACCCTCATCCGCTGGGGGCTGGTGTCAGAAGCGAGCAAATCCTCATTGACTCCCATGTTAAAAATACCAATTTCACAGCAGAAATAAACATGTTTACAGTCTGGTACCAAAACATGTTTTTGGTTTAAATTATGTAGTTTACACTCATGACAACTCTGAGGGGGGTGAATTTTTTTCTCACTCTTCTAAGTGTATTAAAAGCCTAAAATTCTGTATAATTAATGAGCATCCGACCCACGTGACCACAGAGCTAGCTCCAGGGAAAGGCCTCAGTAGAGCCCCGGTCTGGCCTGGAAACTGCTCCGGGATTTTGAGTCTCTGTGTTTGTGTATTCTTTTTTGGATATTTTTAGTGCAATTGTTGGACAAAATGACTTGCTGTGGCATCAATTGCACTAATAGAGCGTCTAAGGAGTCTCCACTTCATTTTTTTCAGTAAGTAAAATTATATTTATGTATTTTAGGTCACTGCCGAGCTGAGCTTAGATTTTAACATGTACTGTTTAACCATGAAATTTAAATGTAATAGGGTAAACTCCAGTGCATTTAACATAATGCTGCACTTTAGAAAATGAGTTGAAACATGTTGGTGGAGCTGGGTTCCGACTATCGGCTTGTGAAGCTCTCGGGAGATCTCTGTTTTCCACCCGGTTCTCCCCTCCCCGCAGCTCGGTGCATCTCTGTCTGATCGCGGCTTCTGTCTGCTGCGTGGGCTGACGGCTTGTGGAGCTCTGGGATGGAAACCTTTCCACCCGGTTCTCCCTCAGCGGCAGCTCTGCGCATCTCAGATCGCAGCAGCACTTGTCTGTTGTGCGGCTGCCGGCTTGTGGAGCTCTCGGGAGACCTCTGTATTCCACCCGGTTTTACCCAGCGGTCAGCCGGCGTATCTCTGACTCAGAAGCTCTGGTGTTGTGCACAGTTAACTCCGGTTGTAGCTAGGTTGCTACCTCTGTTAGCTTAGCTCCCACCTCCGCATGAGCTTTGGGTTAGCTTCAGGTTAGCTTGTAGCTAGTTCGACCGGGTGTCGTCAGTTGATCCCAGCCTTACAGCCCCACCCTCAGCTCCACCTCTCTTCCCTTTTGTGGAATTGTCTGGGCTTGACGGAACCTGTGACACGGTCAAAATGGCGGTGGTGGCCACCTCCCATTTGGCCTCAAAAAGTGTTATTGGAGTCTATGGAAACCCATTGTCCAATAATTATATGTCAATGATTCTAACTGAAGCAGTGATGTTCCGCTGTCGTTCCGCGCTGCTGATGCTTCCAGTGTGAAGTAGGGGTTAGATTTGCAGGAGTTTTATGAGAAAATATGCTAATTTTCTGTTGCAGTCTTTTACCAGCTCAGTGGCATGGTGGCATGAGCAGGTCATACCAAAGACTCAATGCCTCCCGCTTGACACTCAGAACTGAGGGTTTCCATTGGGGTAGTTAAACCACCAAACAGTTCTCGAGTGCGGCCGCGTCTGCAGCTCACCGCTACCCCAGGGGATGGGTCAAATGTGAAGAAACGTTTTTTCCAGTGTGCGGTGACAAATGGGACTTTCACTTTAACCGTTCTTGTGCCCCATGTGAGCATCTCGCATGAATGTTGCACAAATGTCTAACAATTTCCTGACGGACTCTGGGTCAAGGTTCTGCATGAGATATTGAGAATGTTGTTGCATGAATATTGCAGAAATGTCTCTGGAATGTCCGTAGACATTTGCATAAAAACAAGAATATTTTTAAATTGCATTCATAGCTGAGGGACTGTGTGCATTTGTTGATGGTGCTTCATTTATGAGTGATGTTGAAAAATCTGAACAAATACAACTCTGGAGGGTCCACACACATAAACATTACTTTTACGTGGACATTTTCTTAGAATTCTATGAATACTTGCAGCATAATTTAGTAACACAGAAGTATTTTCAATTGAGTCCGTAATAATAAATACATCAGAATGACCAAGAAATGCTAATTGATGGCAGTGCAAAGGTTTATAAAATGTCTCCAATATCCCCTAAATGAGGTCATCCAAGGAGCTATCGATGGGTAATACATTAATTGTTCATAAGCTTTCAGTAAAATTAGAAAAATCGGAACAGTTACTTGTAAGTTTATCTTTTTACAGTTTGTTTAATTTTGATAATAAATCAAAGATCTTATGGTGTCAAAGATGCACTGAACACCATAAAACAGGAAATAATTGAACATTGCATACAGTTGGCTCATTGTGGCAGTCTGAAAAACAAACTGGCCTCCTGAACTAAACATTGGGGTCAATTCAAAACGCATGAATGTCAAAAGCACAAACTTTCATATTTATCAGGATCTCTAAACTCATTTTGGCAAATCCAAACCACAGACATGATCTTTGATTAAATTCAACAAGTCTAATTTATCAGTAGTCAAAATAAGAATATAGCAATGGCTTCAGGCTAAAATTAGAAAGAGTTTTCCTGATGACAAGTGTTTTATGTTGTTTTTAATCTAGTGTTCCTTAGCCAACCGAATATCAAAATACTTTTCAACAATGAAAAGCCTGGTAACTTAAACCAAAAAGCCTTCAGCTCATCTGTTTCCTCTTATGTTGCATTAATCATTGTGGAATCCACTCGGGCCAGAAACCTTTGTGTCTTGTAAATTCAATTTGACTGGCGTGATAGATTTTACTTGATGCTGCTGCGTGCACAAATGAGAGGTTCCTGCCAGTTTGCTGATGGCTCCTTTAGCTGAGGGTTATGTTTCACATGTAAGACAGAAGCAGAACCAGCGGTTTTCATGTAGGACTTTCAAAAGGTTTTGTGACTGAGGAAAAACTGTCCAATTTGAAGAGTTCCCAGCTTGAAGCAGAGCTAGCAGATGTTCTGTGACTAGGACTTACCATTACAGTTAAAGCCCTTCTCCTTGAGGCATTTCTTAGAGCAGCCGTCACCATCCAATAGATTTCTGTCATCGCACTCCTCCATCCTACAGGAAGATGATCATAATTTTCTTCATTTCCTCATCAGAACATGTCATCATAGTTAATATAAACAAAGAGGACAGACCCCTGTGTGAGCCCATCGCCACAGTAGGGCTGTCCATGTGTGTAGATAAGAGGTGGTGAGGGATGGCTGAGGAGACCATCTGCTTCCACCTGGATTGTGTACTGGTACTTCACTCCCTGAATAACAGAGCTGTGGAGAGAAAACAGGGTTCTTCAGCACCTTCAGAACTTACACACAGGTGGCGTTTGCACATTCAAAAGTGGAAGAAATAGCTGGAACTCCAATCTGTGACCTTAAATTGACCTCAGTGTCTTAAAGCAGGAACTTTTTTCAACAATACAGCCCTCTGGTGTCAGGAGTATTGATCTGTTTCGGTGTTCAGGGTCCATAAAAAGAGCTTACTTTCCCTTTTATTTAAGATAAAATGTACCATAGATTAATCTCCCTGGTGTAAAAGTACACAACCACAGTATCTATCAGTGAGTTCACTTTTTCCTGACTTTAAAACTTACCTTCATCAATTATGGATCAGAAAAGGAAACAAGGAATATTCATGGACAATCTCCTCTCTTCTGACTTAACCGTCTGTTCTTAGAGACTGAATAGGAACATCATTCTAGAACCCGTTTATGTTCTGTTTCCTACACCTTTTTATTTGTACCTCCTTCCATATCTTTGAAAACAAACAATAAAAAACTGCAAAAATACAGACAGCCTGAATAGGAATACTTTGTAACGATTGTTACAGTAGTGCATCATCAGCATAGGTGAGATTCAAAAAACTAACTCCACAAATTCAATAACCTTCTACTTGAAGTTGTAATTGCTTAGGCTGACTTCACAGATGAAATCTCCTTCAGACATTAAACACATCATAGAAAGTTGAATTTCACAGTTTAAGCATGTTTTATCATTTTTGGAGACTTTGAAATGTTTGATTAAACAGAGTGAGATTCTTATCTCGATTACAACACATTAGACATCAAAACCTAGGTATTCGTGTCTATCACTCATTATAAGACCTAAGATTTTCAACAATGTAATCCACCCACTGAGTGCCAAGTGTACACCCCAAAGCTCAGAAAAGCTCCCATTTTATTTTAGCTCTTACATTTCTCATGAAAACTAGAGCAGGTGCCAGCAACTATTCCAGTACAACTGCAAAGCGACTGTTTATGTGTGACTTTACTTCTAGTCTGCATTTATAGAGCTCCGGGAGTTGACGTCACTTCTCCCGGCATGCAACAGTTCAAATCAAAACGGCGCCATATTGGCATGCAGAAGCCGGCAGCTGGACTATTTGTTATTGTCAGAAAACTCAATCAAACGGGAAATATGGTAGATTCCTGTTGTGCCCCAGGATGCAGAACAGACGCGGACGACATAAGGAATGAGCCTTCTACAGGATTCCCCAAGATCCGGAGCGCCGCAAACGTTGGATCATTGTAATAAAACGCGCTAGTGACCGGGCTAAAATGAAGCTGTGGGATCCCGAGAGTAAAGGTTTTCGCTTATGCAGCGACCGCTTCATATCAGGTACTTAAACCAACGTTTCCTCAACTGTGTATGGTATTTATTTTAAATGCTTTTATTATGATTCTTAGTGGGCTTCCTAAACTTATTTTGGCGTGGCTTTTTCTGTCTTATTACTCATAGCAACAAGTAAACATCACGTAAAACGTTGCCTCGTGAGTTCTGCGTGCTGCCGTTTACGTGTTTTATGATGACAGCAATTAACCGGCTAAGCTGTATTTAATTTATAAGCAATGGTTGATCAATTATCAGATCACACATTAAAAGCACTTTGGATTGCTATTATCTGTCTCACCGAGACTTCTTACGTGTAAATCTGTTATTTGTCCGTCCATCCATCCATTTTCATCCGCGTATCCGGAGTCGGGTTGCGGGGGCAGTAGCGTGACTTCCCTCTCCCCAGCCGCCGGAGCCAGCTCCTCCGGGTAAATCCCAAGGGGTTCCCCGGCCAGGTCCGGTGTTGTGCCGGTAAGAAGTCCGCTACGACAGCTTCTGGCGTTTTTAAAAAGTATCCCAGGGGCACGGTAAGGGTCGGAGATGTTTAGTCTATTTAATTTCTGACTATATAAAACGATTTCTTCTGTTTTAAAGTGTGAAGTAAACTCCGACGAAGTAAAATCCAAGCGGATCCCGTTCATGTTCATGGTTACATCCGTGTTTGTTTACCTTTTTTGCATGCCAAAATGGCGTCCACTAACTGAGAGTCACGTGGGGTCCGGAGCTCTATATATGCTTGTGTCAAGAAGAGTCCTATAAAGTTACCATGGTACCCCTAATGGGCTATTGGCAGGAGCTTTAACATTTATGTCAATTTCTATATTAGTTCATTTACATCTCATACAGTTTAACACATACTTTACATTAGTACCAAAAAAAATGAGAATGATGTTTTTTAGTTTTTTTTTTATTTATTTCATTCAAAATAAAAACAAATAAAACGTATAAACAATAAGAAATACATAACAAAAAATCTAATTTGAACAAAAAGGAGCAGAATGAAGAAAAACATCTTATAATTTCTGCCCCCTTTTCCAGAAGAAATAATCACTTTATATACAATTTCCATTTGTCAGACACATACAGATTCATTTTAAACTTTTTCCTGTTCTAAATTCCAGTGCGATCATGATCATTGATTTAATTTACATTTTCATAATTAGTTAGTTCACTCAATTTGGTACATTTTTGAATATATTAAATGACGGAGTCTTTTTAATTTCCCTTTTAAGGTTATTCCATAATTTAACACCATTTATAGATATATTCCATTCCTTAATTTTAGTTCTAAATATAGGTTTTGTAAACACATCAGTTTCTTTCAGCATGTAATTACTAGTACTCTTTTCAAATATCCCCTGAATGTTTGTTGGCAGAGTACCTAAATTGGCTTTATACATAGTTTGGAAGATTTTCCAGTCTTTTAAATCACGAAATTTCAGTAATTTATATTTAATAAACAAAGGGTTTGATGGATCTCTACAGCCACTATAATTGATGATTCTCAGAGCTCTTTTCTGTAAAATAATTAAGGGTCGTGTATACTTTTTGTTTGTTGCTCCCCAGATTTCTACACAATAAGTCAAGTATAGAACAATCAGTGAATTGCACAATGCCAGCAAACCAGAATTAGTCAGTAAAAACTTGACTCTATGTAATATTCCTAAGGATTTGGCAATTTTACCTTTTATGTAACTAACATGGGATTTCCATGTCAACTCTTCATCAATAAGAACTCCAAAAAATTTAGTTTCTTTTACTCTTAGAATTTCAATCCCATCTATTTCCAATGACACATCACTGTTCTTTTTATCATTAAACAGTATAAAATTTGTTTTATTAAGATTCAGTGTCAATCTATTTATATCAAACCAGTTTTTAATTTTAATCAGTTCATCATTTATCACTTTAGCCACCTCCTCAATATTTGAACCTGAGTAAAACAGTGTTGTATCATCTGCAAATAGAATGGTACCGAGTGTCTTAGATACATTTACCAAGTCGTTAATAAACAAAATGAACAGTTTTTGTCCGAGGACCGACCCTTGTGGCACTCCACAATTAATTTCACATAGTTTTGATTTATGGTCCTTTATCCGAACAAACTGTTTCCTTCCATGCTTTCGTTCTTTTTTAAACACAGAAACAGTTTTGTTTACCTGTTTGTAGCTACAGTTTCGCCGACAGCTGCCGGCTTCTTCAGGCTGACGCTGATGGTGGCGCGTCACTTCCTTCTCCGTTTATCTGCGGGCAGCAGAGGACGTTGTCGCCCTCTACTGCCCGCTCTCCCCTCTCCGACGATGCAGTCCCATGCGTGGTCCAGCGTGTAAACTCCGTCGTCCCTGTTCATGGTCCCACATCCACGTCTCCTTATCTCGATTGCTTCCTTGATCCATCTTTTGTATTTTTGTTGTTCAGTGGTTATGATCCGTGTGTTGTCCCAGTCCATTATATGGTTTTCTCTTAAGCAATGATCTGTTACGGCTGACTTTTTTATTGTACTTTCTGCTTCTTCTTTTGCTGCTCTTGTGTGTTTACGATTTGCCTCTTTCTCGCACTCCTTTCTGTGTTCTATTGTCCGTGTATTGAGTTGGCGTCCGGTTTCTCCTATGTATGTTTTATTGCATATTTTGCATGGGATTTCGTAGATGACTCCACATTTTTGTCCAGCTGATATTTTGTCTTTTGGGTGTACTAGTCTGTTTCTAACTGTTGTGTATGGCTTTGTTGGTGTGTTTATGTTGTGTTTTTTCATTGTTGCTCTTATTTTTTCCGTTATGCCTCTGATGTATGGTAGGGTTATCACTGGTTTTGGTTCTTGTCTTTCTGGGTTTCTGGTTCTTTTTTTGGGTTGTTCTTTGCTTTCTGTTTTTGTTTGTTGTTTTCCTTTGTTTATTGCCCATGTCGGGTATGCGCAGGTCTTTAAAGCGTGTTGTATGTGTTTGTCCTCTTGTTTACGGTCTCTCTCTTCTGTTATTATGTTTGCTCGGTGATATAATGTTCTGATTACTGACATTTTGTGTATGGTGGGGTGTTCTGATGTCCATAATAAATATTGGTCTGTGTGTGTTGGTTTCCTGTATGTGTTTATGTTTAGGGTCCCGTCGGTCTGCCTGGTGATTTTCATATCCATAAATGCTATGCTGCCTTCTGTTTCTAACTCATAAGTGAATTTTATGTTGCCCGTGTCGTCAATATTGTTTAAGTGTTGTATTAGTGTTTCTGTTTGACCTTTTGGTATGATTTCCAGTATGTCATCCACGTAGCGTTTCCATAGTTTTATTTTGCAGTTTGGGGGGCGGTGGCTATGGCTTTTTGCTCTAGGTTTTCCATGAAAAATTCGCACAGGGTGGCTGATAACGGGTTACCCATGGCGAAGCCTTCCAGTTGTTTGTATATTGTGTTTTCGTATGTGAAGTAAATGGAGTTAGCTACCAGTCCTATCAGTTGTGCTATGTCATCTGCTGTGAGGTTTGTCCTTTTTTGTAAAGTTTTGTCTTGTCTGATTCTGTTAACTACTATGTCTATGGTTTTTTGGGTTGGTGTTTTTGTGAACAGAGATGTGACGTCATGTGAGATGAGTATGTCGTTGTCTTCTATTGTAATTTCCTTTAGTTCTTTTGCCAATTCTATACTATTTTTGCAGTGTTGGTCTGTAT